ACAAAGAAAAGCCCACTTACCTTTTTAAATTTAATTTCACATTAATTTATCTTGATTGTCTTGACAACAAATTCTCATCAATGATACGGAAATTTGAACTAAACCACTAAATCACTGAATTTTAGAGTGAGAAAACACCTAAAGATTATCCATCCCAGTAGCCATCACTTTAGTCTGTATCAGAATCACTTGGAGGGTTTGTTACAACCATTCTCAGAGTTTCTAATTCAGTAGGTCTGGGATGGAGTCTGAGAATTTGCTTTTAAATAAGCCGCAGGTGATAATAGTACAAATGCAGTTTTGCATGCTGGGATGGAGAAAACAATGTTCTTTCCTCCTGTATAGAGAAAAAGCCAGTCCTTCCTCCTTCCATGTTTCTCCTGTGCGTTTCCTTTACTTTCACACGACTACCACACTCACAACACTTCTGACACCAGATGAGTGGAGGTTTTCTCCACAAACAAGCAAGTCTCTGAGACACCAGCTGGGTGTTCCACAATTTAACGCAATTCGGACACTACATGGAAATAGTGTCAGATCACACAGGGTAAGTTCTCAGTCCAATGAGACTGTCCCCTCCCCCTCTTTCAGATGCCAATCCCAAGTCACCTGTTCTTCTGACCTGAGGTTTCCACAACCTCCTCCTCGGGTTCAATTAATTTGCTACAGCAGCTCACAGAAATCAAAAAAACTGTTTACTTACTGCTTAGCAGTTTCCTATAAAAGGATATAGCTGAACATCCGATGGAAGAGATGCCTAGGGCAAGGAACGTAGGATGGGACGTGGAGCTTCCATGCCTTCTCCAAGAGCTCTCTCCCACAGCTCTGCCCGCTCAACCCGGAAGCTCTCCAAACCCCCGCCTTTTGGGTTTTTAATGGAGGTTTCCTTACACAGGTGTGATTAATTAAACCATTGCCCGTTGGTGATTGAACTCAATCTCCTGCTTCTTTCTTCGCCCCAAAAGTAGGGGGATGGGGCTGAAAGTGCTAACCCTCTAATCACCTGGTTGGTTCCCCTGGCAAGAAGCCCCTATCCTTAGGTGAGGCCCCCAATCACCTAATTAACAAAATGAAAGACACCTGTGTTGCTCTTGTCAGGAAATTCCAAGGATTTTAGAGCACTGTGCCAGAAACAGGAATAAAGACCAAATAGATATTTATCATAAATCATAACATCATACATACGTAATATGGTTAATCACAATCCTGGTTAAATTTAATTCTACCTACTTTATTTCTGTGTCTGTGTAGCTGGATATGGCTGGAGAATATATAACCAGACTAAAAAGTCTCATTTTGAAATAAATCATCATTAACCTCAAGTGGGTTCCTGTGCTGCTGGGTAGTCCTCTGTCCACCCTCCTGAACAATAGTTACATGTTTTCTCCACTCTCCTCAGAGCTCCCATACCTGCTCCACTGTTTTGAATCTCAGCTAACGACCACGTGTCCTCTTTCACTGAGAACACTGACACGATCAGATAAGAACTTCAGCAGCTGCCACCACGTCTACCAACCTGTCTGTATCTCCGTGGTCTCTACCTTTTCTCCTGTTGTGACTAAACTGTAAGCTCCTGACTTGGTGAATGTCTCCAGTTGTACACTAGATTCTACTCCCTTTCACCTACACAAGAAAGTCAATCCAGCAATTTTTCCTGTTTCCTTTATATAATCATAATAAATATTCATCATTTTACTAGATCAGCATACAAACATGCTGTTATTTCTCCCATTAAAAGAGAAAAACCCTCCTTGAATCTATTCTCCTACAATGCCCCATTTCACTTCTTTTTCTTTAGTGCAAAATTCCTTGAAATAGTTATGTTATATTCACTATTTCCAGTTTTATTCTCCCATTCTCTCTTGAGTGCATTCTAATCAAACTTTCCCCCACACCAATCAACAAAAAGCTCTGTATAGGTCATCACTGACCTCACTGCTAAATCCAATGGTCAATTCTCAAGTCACATCTTACCTGACACATCAGCAACATATTGCAGCTTACCATTTTCCCTACCTTATAACATTGCACTTTTCGCTTAGATTCCAGGATACTTTATTTACCTAGTTTTCTTCCACCTTTATAGCCATTCTTTTTCAGTCCCCTTTGCTCGCTCCTCTACATTTCACTGGACTTAAAACACCAGCATGCTCAAAGAAAGACTCCTTAAACCTTTTCTGTTTTCTATTTATATTCAAGCCCTACATGAAATCAGCCAGCCTCATTACCTTAAATGCCTTTTGTAATCTAATGGGTCATATATTTATACTTATAGTCTGGCCTATCCCCAAATTCCTGACATAGGTATCCAGTTATAGGTATATGACATACACTTGGATGTCTAATAAGTATCTCAAACTTATGTCCCAAACTGAGTTCCTAATATTCCTTTCCTTTCTCCCACAGTCTTTCCCATATCTGTTAATGGCAATTCCATCCTTCCAGTTTCTCAGGTCAAAAGCATTAGAATCAATCTTGACCACTGTATCTCTTTCACACTCTAACCCCAACTTATTGGCATATTCTGTTGGCTTGACCTTTATAATATACTCAGATTCTGACCATTTCTCACCCTTTATACTATTACCACCTGGTTTGAGCAAGCCTCTATCCATTTCTCACCTGAATTATTGTACTAACCTTTTAACTGCTCTCCTTTCTTCCAACCTTGACTCCCTTTAGGATATACCCAGCACGAAGAGTGATCCTGTTAAATGGAAATTAGATTATATTACTCTATTCTCAAAATCTTCCCATCTCATACCAAGTAAAAGTCTAAGTCTTTACTGTGTCCTACAAGAACCTACATGACTTAGCTCCGTATTATCTCTGATCTCATCTCCTATAAGTCTGCCCGTAACTGCTCCAGAAGGTCAAGATCTGTGAATAGTTTGAGATTTTACTTTACTTGCAAGCTAATAAATTTAAGTTGCCAGTTTCATGGATGCTGATAGAAGATGTGAGACTCTTGGATCAGAGATAAAGGATAATCACAGTTGCCAGAATATTTTGTGCTGGTTTCCTGAGCCTTAATTCCACAGTACAATGCAAAGAAGCCTCCTCTTCTGTATAAATCTGCTCAGGCTGCCTTAACAAAATACCACAAACTGGGTGACTTCAACAACAGAATTTTATTTTCTCACACTTCTGGAGACTGGAAGTCTCAAATCAACATACCTGCAGTGTTGGTATCTGGTGAGAGCTCTCTCCCTGAGTTGCAGACAGCTGCCTTCTCACTGCGTACTCATGTGACCTTTCCTATGTGTGGGGGAGGGGAGGGGGGAGAGAGAGAGAGAGGGAGAGAGAAAGAAAGAGCTAGGTCTCTGGGTGTCTCTTCTTATAAGGACACCAATTCTATCAGATCAGGGCCCTACCCTTATGAACTCCTTTAACCTTAAATATTCCCATAGAGGGCCCATCTCCAAATATCAATACATTCACACTGGGGGAGGGGGGGAGGGCTTTAATATATGAATTTGGGGAGGGGAAATGAACAAACATTAGTCCTTAACATCTTCTACTCTATTTAAAATTTAATCACACCCTTTTCCAAGAATTTCTATCCCCTTTTCTGCTTTATTTTTTCCTTAGTACTTATTGCTATCTAATCTCATATATATACTTATCGTATATATTGTCTGTCTCTATCATAGAAAGTTCTGTGAAGGTACGGATTTTTATCTGTTTTATTCACTATTTTATTCCCCTGTGCCTAAAACAGAGCCTAGAACACATGGTAAACCCTCAATAAGTATTTGTTGATTGAATGAATTAAGATTTTAGTGGGGAAGACTGGTAATTTGGAAAGCTGGAGAAGGTACACTTCTAGCCAGTAAGACCTCTTTTAGGAGGAAAATCCTCATTAATTGTCTGGTGAATTATTTACTGTAGACCGAATTGTTAATATCTTAGTATAGAAGTCCTTAAATTTAAGCTTCCTTTGTAATGTGTATTTCTGAAATAGTAGAGGCTATATTTTGGACTTACTGAGCTTTTTTTAAAAAATCATGTTACATCATCTAAACATGTTATTTTTAATTTTAAATACTTTATAAAGTACTTTCTAAATGGAATGTATTTTTATAACACCCTTCCTAAGTCTCTGGTACACGTACACTCCTGAGGTATATCAGCCTGGGATAACTTCCTTACTCTCTCTACATGATGTCAAAGGAGAAAGGAAAGAAAAGGCTGCTAGGGCGCTGCTTAGGGGTGAATCTGGAAATGTCCAAAGGTCAGTCTACCCCAAGTTACTTCCTAAGCTTCATAGTATCTTGTCTCTGGGACTGGTAAAAATCACCCATAGGTAATAGTTTGGCATGGATATTCAACCTTGGAGATTCTAGGTGAGTAAACCATTTTTCTGTATAAAAGATGCATAAGCCTGCCTAAACACCAAAGCTAGTTTGGATTTTTTTTAATACAATCAAAATTGCTAGCATGAACTCTAGATATTTAAATTTCATGAAATATTCTAAGTGTTCATTTTCAGAAGAAGAAAAATAGCATTTTCTAGTGAATGAGTCTATAAAATAAAGAAGTGGAATCAGTTGGCATTATTTTTTCAGCTGGTTATTCAATAAATTAAAATTATAAATTTTCTAAAATTTACTTTTTAAAAAAGCATTTTAATGAATACTATATAGTATAATGAAAGGAAACTGGATTAGGAATTAGGAAACCTGAGTTCTAGTCCAGGCTCAGCCACTGACTTGCTATGTGACCTGGCCCAAGTCTCATCATTTTTCTGGGTCTGTTTTCTCATTAATATAATGAGAGGATTTGACAAGTTGATGTCTTAGACTCCTTTTAGACCCTACCTTTTATGATTCCAAGTTATTGCAACTGACAAACTCACAAATCTACTGATTTATGTATAATACTGCAAAATTATGACACTATAGATATGAATTATCATAATATAAAACATTTATCGCCCATAGATGAATAGCAGCTGTTTTAGAATTTCATGTGCCAGTGATATGAAATTGTTTTTATAGGTACATTCCTCTCATTGAAAGGAGCTGTTCTAACATTCTCCTGTATGGACCGAACTGGCAGATTAATGCAACCACCATATGAAGTCTGGAGGGATCCAAACAACATAGATGAAAATGAGAAATCTTGGAGAAGAAAGCTGGTCATGAACTGCCCCTCTCCATCCCAAGAAATAGGAGATCATCAGTATACAATAATCTGCTCAGAAAAACAAGCCAAAGTCTTCTCACTGCCTTCTCAGACTTGCCTCTATGTTCATAACATCACCGAGACATCTTTTATACTGCAAGCAGATGTGGTGGTCATGTGTAACAGTGCCTGCTTGGCATGCTTTTGTGCCAATGGGCATATCATGATAATGAGGTACTTGCCTTCTTTATAAATTATCTGGTAATCATAACAGTGCAAACAAGGTACAGTTATGAAAAGTATATGTGTAATGTGCCAAGATGTTATCAAGAAGCAACCTGAGATCATTGTTTCATTATGTTTGTGAATGTTTTATTGCTCAAAAGTTTGAGGAGACTTTGAGTTTTTATTTGTTTTTGTTTGTTTTTTGTTTTTGCTAAAAATGCTTTGCATTGTGAATGAAATATGTTAATTGACATCAAGGAATCTAAGGAAAGAGTGATTCTCCAGTCATTCACACATTCATTCAACATTTATTGAGCACATGTTATCTCCCAGATGCTATGCTAGGCACAGGATATATGAAGATGAATAAACTACAAGGAAAAGAAATGAACTGTTACCTTTACTATGTTTCATAGTACACACAAGAATTTTCCATACAGAATTTAATTTTATCCTTATAACTTCTTTAGGACATAAGAAAATAAAGTGTTATTTGCATCCTCCATTTTACATATGTTAACAAATTTGCCTGAGGTTGCAAGTCTAGGAGAAAGTGAGATCAACACTGAACAGTATACTAAAAGTCATTTTATTTTAACCTGCTCTAGCTATGCATTAAGAAATATACATGGAGGGAGAGCTTGGCTGGGCTTTTGAACTGAAGTCGTAACTATATTGAAGGCTAGGTGGAAACAGATGTGAGGGATAATTGAGGGAAATTTGCTGAATGTAAAACCAATTGGTTGTGAAAGGTAATGGAGGTCTTTAAATCTCAGGGTTAGAAAAGAACTTAAAGGTTAAAAAGTTTTATCATGAACTTGGATAATAGTGAGGAAAGGTTAAAAAGTTTTATCATGAACTTGGATAATAGTGAGGTCATTAGCAGATAAGAAAGTCAGAATTTAGAAAGACTGATAATGAGAAGTTTGGGAATGAATTGAGAATGAATGCTTGGAATGTGAGGTGCTTATATGCCAGCCTGCAGAAGTTTAGCCAGCAATTTAAGGTCTGGACTCAAAAAAATAGGGATGGAAGATACAGCTCTGGAAACCATTTACGTAAATGCATTAGTGAAAGTTGTAGCAGTGAATGAAATCATCAAAGAGGACACTATAAAAAAAGCGGAGAAATAGACTGGTCTTAGGACAAAAATTGGGGGGGAGGGGTGCATATGTCTACATTTATGTAGTGGAGAAAAAAGAAACTCCAGCAAAGGAGATTGAGAAGTCATCAGAGAGCTAGGAAAAGGATCAGAGTAGCAGAACTTCATGAAATGAAAACGACAGCAGAGTATCAAAACGATGGTCAAGAGGTAGTCAGAGCAGAAAGGTCAAAGAGTTTGGGTACAAGAAAAAACCCTAGATCTGGCACCTAGATATTAGTGATCTTTGAGAAAGCAAATCTTAGGAGCACGGTGGAGGTAAGACTAAATTTCAGGGGGGCAAGAAGAGGCAGTGGCATAGATCAGGGGCTGACAGACTACAGCCCCAGGCCGTATCTGCCCTGCCCTCCCCCCAATCTGATACTGTAAAGCTTGCAAGCTAAGAATGGTTTTTACATTTTCAAATTGTTGAAAGAAATCAGAGAATATTTCATGATATGTGAAAAGTATATGAAATTCAAATTTTCAATGGCCATAAACAAAGGTTCAGGGAACACAACCACACCCGTTTGCTTACATACTGCCCAGAGGGGCTTGTGCACAGTAGGGCAGAGTCGAGTAGTTGCACTGGAGGCCTAAAATATTTACTATCTGGCTCTTTAAAAAAAAGTTTGCCAACCCCTGAGACAGTATTCTTTGGGGAAATTTTGGTAAAAAGAGAGATGAGAGACAGGAAAGTAGTTCGAGAGCAAACCTGGGTGTTTGAGAGTGTTTTTATTGTTATATTTTACTTAATAGGGGAGAGATGAGTAGATTTGTAAGCCAAGAAGTAGTTAATGAAGGAGAAAGTTTTGAAAACATAAAATCATTTATGGCCTGCTCATTCTCTTACATATTTCTTACTCTTTCTCTTCATCTGGTTTCTCTTTCTCAAGCTCTTTTTAAAGATTTCTGAAGGCCATTCCAGTCCTGTTTGAAAATAACGACTTAACTCCTAGACATGCCTTAGTTTAGGAGGGAAAAAAAAAATGTGTGTATACACTCCCCTGAGCTCACGTTTAGTCACTCAAAAATGTTATTTCACAATTGAGCTTTTAGCTTGATAGTGACTACTTACCCTGTTTTTGCAAAATTTTAGTATGTCTTCTTTTCTTAAATGGTACATCTGAAAATTAATTTCTACTTAAATGAATACATGCTACATCTACATTTATGAGGAGGGGAATTTCTTGAGAAATGAAAAGCAAGAGTTTAAAAAGCAACAGGAGTCACAGCAATAGGAAAGATAAAATGATCTGTCTCTGCCCTTTGTAAAAGCTGTTTTACATGATAATGACTACTTTAATATTATGTCCTAGTGGAAACTCTTTATGTGTTCATGAGGATCTCAAAAATATTTGAAAAGTGATTTTGACATGATTTTAGTAATGTGTAAGGTGCGGCTAGGAAACATGTGGCTTGAGTAACTGGAGTCTACAAATTGGCATGCTCCTGACCTTGCTAAGCATATTCCCAGATCTTTCCAGACCCTGTCAGAACTTAACTACGGGACTTTCCTGGCAGTCCAGTGGTTAGGACTCCGTACTTCCAATGCAGAACTTAACTACACTGAGCCCAATCTCCTCAAGTCCTAGTTTTCAGATAGTTGCTAGGTAGGTATGATTGCTCATGTGCCAATGTACCCAGACCTAGAAAAGAGTAGAGAGAGATGCAAGAGGCTTATCTATGTATAAAGTTCTCAAATTGGGCTGAGAGAGCCATTTTTAGTGGGAACCATCTTTAGTTACCTGACACTATTTCCTTATAAAAATGTCCTTGCACAGAAAAAAACTTTTTTTTTTCATCTTTAAGAGTACTTGTTTCCTAGACCTTAGCAATTGACTTAACTCTTTCCTTTTCCTACCAAAAGTGATTACACCTGTTGTATTTTGTTGGCTTACTTTTATTATGCTACATAGACAACACAACTTACCAGGAAAGTCCATAGGAACCTCTTCCCCACCACAGCCCATTATTCTGAATGAATGGAAGTCTGTTTAACTGGGTTTGTTTTGGACTCATATCCTAAGGATCTTTGTTACTTCAAACGCCATCACATGTATTTTTAATATACTTTTTTCATACTAAATCTTTGAAATTCAGTATATAATTTACACTTACAGAATATCTCGAATCAGACAAGCCATATATCAACTGCTCAATAGCCACATGTGGCTAGTGGCTACCATATTGGACAGCACAGCGCTAGGACCTCATGAAAAACTTATTCCTGTAGCACAGATTTCAGGTCCCATTTTATATGGTAAGATTCTAGGGCTTAAGTTGTAATTACAAACTACTTTGATAAGAGAAATAAGTACTTTTTTTTCAAGGTGCTGGTTTTATGATCTGGGTTAATTTAAAATCATTGTGCACACTACAATTAGTAGAATGATTTCAAAGCTTGAGATTTAACTACAAGTTTATTTTTCTCTTTTTGGCATTAGAGATGTGCTTTAAAAGCATTGAGATTGGTTTTCTTTAGTAGTTTGTAAATCTGGCTCCAGTGACAGTATCCAAAAGTACATTTTTATAAATATGTAAGCAGAATCATTTGACTACAACATTAGGATAAGCAGAGAGCCAATCAGTAAGACACTTGAGATGTGGTATTAGCTTGGATGTGCAAATTTTGATCTATTATTTGTAACTAATCCTGTTACAGCCCCCAGCCATGTTTGTTTATTAATCATCTCTTCAGTGCAGGTGCCCTAAGTCATAGGTGATTTTCATTTTCTGTGTATAGAGGAAGTAAAGGAATGGGGAGCAAAGCCACTCCATTCCCAGGCACAGTGAACAAGACCCACTTCATCAGTGTATAACCTCCTCAGACCCAGGAGTTCTGCCTTAAAAAGAGACAATAGACCAAGTATGCAGGCAGCCACTTTCTAGCTGTGGTGTTTCTGCCATAATCAAAGATTATAACTGTACTGTAGGAACCTGTGAAATGCTCCAAAAAGCATTTTGAATTTGCTGGCCACTGCGTTTAATCCATCCTTCAAGGACATTTGCTAAGTATCTGTGTGGATTAAGATAGAAGAACTGTGCCCATTAATTTTATGTGAATATGATTTTATGTGAAAGTCTAGTTTACTACCATTGAAAATTCAAGAGGATAAAGAAACAACCGTAAAGTAGTGGTATAAAAAGTATTGTTTTATGTAAGGATCTGCACATTTTATACGAAGAAATTAAAAGCTTCTAACAACTTGAAAATGAAATGTGGATTTGTTTTTTTCCATTCAGCCTACCTAGTCTTCGCCCAATGTTGGATGTTAATTATTTGCCACTGACAGACATGAGGATAGCACGGACGTTTTGTTTTACCAATGAAGGACAGGCATTATACCTTGTCTCTCCTACTGAAATTCAGCGGTTAACATACAGCCAAGAGATGTGTGATAATCTACAGGTAGGTCAGGCATATTTATGAATAAACATCGGACACAGTTGTAAAAAGAGAAAAAGTTAGAAAGATGTCTAAAAGCTAAAATATTATTGAGCCAGACAATAAATATGCCTGCCCTAGAACATGTTTTGAATATATGTTCATCATTGTGATGCTACCAAGTTCTAGTGTGGTTCCAGATATACACAGAAAAAAAAGAAAAAACGGGATGTGCGAAGAATGTGATCATACATATCAATGGTTGTTTTGTGTGTTTTATTGGTTTTTTTGCCTATGGAGAATCCTCTGAAAGATTATGAAAATCTTCCTCCAGGGTGGGGAATATGTATGTACACACAAAAATTCTGCATACAATTCAGGGAGTTAATGAAATTTTTTTAAAGAAATCTTAATTGTGATTAAGAGCCATACAAAATAAATACATATCCTGTAGGTTAGAATTGGGCATTTGTCTTTGATCATAGCGGTAAGCAGAACCTAGAAACAAATATAAAAGCCTATCTAACCTTGGATAAGTAAATGTGGTCACAAAATGTTAAAAGGCATCTTAGGGATTTAATTGGTTTCTCCTTATTTTAGAAATAAGAAAACTAAAACCCATTCATTACAATATAGAGGTTCAGAGTATAAGCTCTGAACTATTTAAGTTGCATTTTGCTCACTTATATAACTTTGGCCATTTTACTTAATCTACTACCTTGAAGCACTGCTGTGAGAATTAAGAAAGAATTCATATAAAGCACTGAGCACAGTGCCTGGAACATAATAAGCTTTAAAAATAAATAATAATAAATGTTATTCAACAAATACTTAGAGTTTTTTATATGCCTGGTACTTGGCTGGGCTCTAGGAACACAATCATAAACAAGATACAAGTCCCTACCTGTTAGGGTGGAGGGAGAGATAAGTAAACAGACAACCACAATACTCTGGAAAATGCTGTTATATGGCTGTGGCGGTGCTGGGGAGACATGTGAGAGGGGCACCTGGGTTGATGGAACAAAAGGGAAGGGGTAGTTAGAAAAAGGTTGTGAAGGATGAATAGGAGTTATCCATAGGAATGGATGGCTGGAGATGGAAAAGGTAATAATATTCTTGACAGAGCAGAGGCATGCGACAGCCCCAGGGTTCAGGCAACTTCCAACAAAGTGCTGAGTTGGGAAGTGGAGAGAGTGAAGGGTTGATGCTGGAGAGTTAGTCAAGAACAGAGCTTGGAACACCTTGTAAGCTCCTTAAGGAATCTGGCATTTATCCCCAAGGCAATAGCAAGTCATTGAAAAGGTTTAACAAATTTGTTTATTAAAGCTAATATTCTGGTTGCAGTATGGCAATTAGTTTTGTGGAATTAAGACTAAAAGTAGGGAGAAAAATTTGGAGGCTTTTTAAAATAATTAAGGCCAAAAATAATAGTGGTTTGAAATAAGGCAGCCAACAGTGAGGAGAGAGAAAAGTTAGCAGATTCAATGGCTATAAAGTGTAACCAGTCAGATTGGAAGGTTATTAGATGTAGGAGTGAAGGAAAGGAAGGAATTAATACTTATTCCTGTATTTCTGGGTTGGGGAACTAAGTAGATGGTGCAGCCATTTCCAAAGAGAAGGGATTCGGAGGAAGAGCACAGGTCTGGGGAGTAGAGGTGAAAGGGGATGATGATGACGGTCATGCTGCAAGTTCACAGACAAACTGATATTAGGTCAACGGTCTGACTTTGGGTGGAAGTTCCTTCCTCCAAACCAATGGTTCTCAAATTTTGGTCTGCTTTAGAAAGACCAAAGCAAGTTAAAACTTTTTAGGGCAAGTTAAAAGTTAGGAAAAGTTAGAGCAAGTTAAAAATACAGATAACCAGAACACATCTATGCAAATTTTGATTTAGCGCATGTGGAATAAAGCCAGTGCATCTGTGTTTCTAACAAGATATCTCCCCAGTCATTCTAAATTACATCAAATATTAAGAACAATTTTACCTCACCATGCAGTAGCTACCTACTTTGACTCATTTAAATTATCTTGAGCTACTTCATTATTTTGTACATGATATAAAAATAAATCCAGCCTTTCTCTACACACCACCAAAGGCTTCCCATTTCATAGGGCAGTCCATGCTTGGTTCCAGAAAGGGAACTAGGACAGGAAAAACGCTATGGTAATTGAAAAAGAATCAGAAGTCTAGATTGGCAGTCACTGATCAAGTGTAAATTAATCCTAGGGTGAATATTAGCTTCCCATGCTTTCTAATTGTAGAAGGAAGAAACGAAGAGGGCAGAAAAGTGAAAATTTTAGGATGTCAGTTCTTGGAGAAGGGAAGGGAAAGGAAGGAAGATGGAGAAAGAAAGGCCAGAGAGAACTGGGAGCAAAGCAAAAATCACCAGGAAAATATATGGAAAACAGACTGCCTTTTCATGACATGCTCTAACCTGCCACCATGTTATCTTTTGATCTGTTACTTTACTCTTAGTCTAATGCTGTTTTCTTTTGATCTGATATAGGACATGCTAGGAGATTTGTTTACTCCCATAGAGACACCAGAAGCTCAAAACAGAGGCTTTCTCAAAGGACTGTTTGGTGGAAGTGGACAAACATTTGACCGAGAAGAGCTCTGTGAGTAACAGAAGACCTATTTCTAGACTAGCGTTTTGCTTCTATACCATGAAAACTATTTGTTTACCAAACATGAATAAAATTGGTCACTTTATATTAGATGCAATTCTAATAGTACATGCAATTCATAGTACATGCAATTCATACAAAAAATGAGTAAGCTAATAAATGTGTCATTTGCAGGTAGATCATACCTGCAAGGCAGGGTGAAGACATTTGATTACTAAAATCTGAAAAAATGTTTTTGAATCTGCCTGCCTTTACTTCTAGGAAACAGATTATTTATTCAGAATTCAAGGTTTACCAATGGTACAGAATAAATTACTTTAAAAAAATCTACCTGCGAAACTCTGATGAACAATAATCAAAATGCAGTAGAAAGATACTAGGGAACATTTTCAGAGATAAATTAAGAATACATTTTCCAGAATATCTCACCCACCATTTGGTCTTACAGATCAAACTCCTTTTTTCTTGAATTTTTAACTATGCAAAAGATCTAGGTACCTCCATACAATGGAATAGTATTCAGCCATAAAAGGGAATGACATTTGATACATACTACAACATGGATGAACCTTGAAAACATCATGCTAAATTAAAGAAGGAAGACAAAAATGGCCACATATTGTATGATTCCTTTTATACAAAATGTTCTGAATAGACAAATCCATAGAGACAGAAAGTAAATTAATAGTTGCCAGGGACTGAGGCAAGGAGGGACTAGAAAGGGACTGCTAATAGGTACAGAGTTTTCTTTTTGGGGTGATGAAAATGTTCTAAAATTAGACAGTGGTGATAGTTGCACAAATCTGTGAATATGCTAAATACCACTGAATTGTACACTTAAAAAGGGTGAGTTTTGGGAATCCCCTGGCAGTCCAGTGGTTAGGATTTGGAGCTTTCACTGCCGGGGCCAGGAGTTCGATTGCTGTTCTGGAAACCAAGATCCCGCAAGCTGTGCAGCATGGCCAAAAATTAAAAAAAAAAAGGGGTGGTGGTGAATTTTATGATATGTGAATTTTATCTCAATAAGCCTCTTATTTTTTAAAAATTGATCTGGATTCCATTCCTAATGTTATATCCTTGGGAATTCTCACTAAATTTTTACTAAGATAGCTGTTTTTCAATATTTAAAAGTTACTTCATTAAAATTAAGTGAAAATGCGCTTTGTAAATGATGGGGAAATTTTTAGTCTTTTATAAAGTAATAAAGTTCCTACAAATGTTTATTAATGCCCATCATGCATACACCCCATTCTCTAGTATTTACATACACACACACAGAGATTTTTGAAAAAACGACAACTGAGGCCTACAAAGACTGACAGCAAGATGAATACAGAAGGTTGGAATGCCAACTTGGGCAGAAATTTAAATAAATGATCAGGCCTGAGATTGGAGCAGACACTAATATGGGTTAAATATGAGGTCACAATAAAATTGTGAGCATCCCAATTCAGCAATGTCAAGAAATGCAATTGGGCTTCCCTGGTGGCGCAGTGGTTGAGAGTCCGCCTGCCGGTGCAGGAGACACAGGTTCGTGCCCCGGTCCGGGGGGATCCCACATGCCACGGAGTGGCTGGGCCCGTGAGCCATGGCCGCTGGGCCTGTGCGTCCGGAGCCTGTGCTCCGCAAGGGGAGAGGCCACGGCAGTGGGAAGCCCGTGTACCGCAAAAAAAAAAAAAAAAAAGAAATGCAATTATGCCGTATTGTATGGAACACCCCCCCCACACACACACAATAAGGCATATGGTACCAATATCTCTCTCAGTCTCTTTCGTGGGCATTTTTCTTTGGTAAATGCTAACATCTGCAAATACAGATCTATGATAGGAACAAATATGTCTCTTCATGAGAATTATGACAGTAGAATTCAATGTAAGTACTTTGGTGATAAACTTGACTATAATTACTTGAATTACTGACAGAATGTTTTAAATTGCTATGGCTTGAACTCCCAGTTGGGGAAGCTTCAGCAGGAAAAGCATCACGCAGCCTCGCACAGCACATTCCTGGACCAGGTGGTATAGAAGGGATGAAAGGTGCTGCCGGAGGGGTGATGGGAGAGCTGACTCGTGCACGGATCGCACTTGATGAGAGAGGACAGAGGCTAGGAGAGCTGGAAGAAAAAACTGCAGGCATGATGACCAGTGCAGAAGCATTTTCCAAACATGCACATGAGGTAAACTGCCTAGTAAATAAAGGCATCTTCATACAGTAATAACTTTAAACATTTAGGTCCTGCAAAAGAAGGCCTAAACAGAGATGTCACTGAAAGTAATCCTGTGTGAGAGCCAAGGTAACTGGGATCTCATTATAAGTATTATAACTCCCCTCATATTGGGGAGAAAAAAATGTTTTTTTAATACTATATTGATACTTCTTTACCTTAGAGGATGACTTAAAAGAAGATTATCCACTGGTTCTGGTACACTGGGTCTATATTGTGCATCAGCTGCTAAAAGGGTACTTAGGTTGGTTACATGATCTCCCCCAACAAGGTGTGAGGGGGCAGTAGAGGCTGGGATCCACACACCCCTTTTTGTCTCAATCATTAAAAATCATTTCCTATCAGGCAAATCTTTAGAGCTTGATTGGTTTTTTAAAAAGTCTTTCTATATGCACTTTATTTCAAAAAATAAAGGAAGTCTTGTAAGTTTTGAGATTTTGATATGCATGATTAGCTCAATATGAGCTTGCTTTGATTAGCACTTTTAAATAATTTTTTAACAATCTTATGGTGACTATTTTTTCTTTGCAGTTAATGCTGAAATATAAGGATAAGAAATGGTACCAATTCTAATCTTCTAAAGAAGCTATGACTGCTTTGAGAAACCATTATTCAGGGAAACCAAATTTATTCCCGGCATCACTATTCAACTGCTAGAAGACAGTTTCTTCCACAAAATGTTCCATTACAGTCCATCTGAAGTTATCATAAGGGAGACTTATCAGAGACACTGTACAACCCAAAGGCTGGAACCCTGGTTAAAACCCCAAGATATGGCTGAATTTGCCTCTTCCCACGTGGAATGGAGCTATCATCTTGGCATGTCGTTTGCTAAGGATTTACATTTAGGAACTACGGGGAGTCCTGATTTGAAAAAATCCTGTACAAACAAAAACCATTAATGCACTTAATGAAAAAAATTTTTGCATGATAAATTAACATCTTAAGAGGAAAAGAAAAAAAAAAGCATGTTGTGACAGAAGAAAAAAAGATTTATGGTAAACTATTTTTATAAATTGGACCACACCTGACAATTTAAAAAAATCTGTGTTAGAAGATATCAGTGCATTTCAAGTACATTTGCAATACCCAACTGAAAAAACAAACAAAACCAGACTTTTCTTTTCATCTATAACTTTCATTATACTAGGACATTATTGAATTCTTATGGCAAGAGTCTGATTAACATTCTTCTCTCTCCATAATATTTTACATTATTCACAGTTCTTGGTCATAATCAAATATTGCCAGTACAGTAAATTATTCCTAACACAATTATATCCATTTCTATCACCTTCAGAACAAGTTGCTATTTTTTTTTTTTTTCAAGTTGCTATTTTTAGTCACAAACCGTGCAGGGTTGGGTCACCTCGAAGCATTTTTTCAGCCTGGCTTATACTCTGCAGGGGAGTTGACAATAGGTTTGGGGAAACTAGACTTACAGGAACAATGTAGTTAGCTTTGAGAACTGATTTCACTCACTCTGGTTTCAGGTTCTAAAGTGATATATTTTTAATGCTCCATTTGTATCCTTGTCTGCCAATTACACAGTATATTACTGTTCAATCCCAGTGGGGTCTTCAATTCAAAGGTGCTCTTGCAGCCTGACACTCACAGACCAAACTGGTCATTCTCTTTAGTCTGATTCAGTAAAACCTCAGTTAATGTTTTAGGAAAGGGATTCTGACATTTCTGATTAACAAGGACTTTCATTAGAAATTACTTTTTGGTTCAATACTTACTATTGAAAATTGTTATAAAGTGGTGGTGTTTTTGCTATCTTGGCTTTAGTCACCATTATGGACAACAGAAATTTTGTCACTCAACAGGCTAAATAACATAAGCCACAGGATTATGTCAACAGATACCAAATACCTATTCCTTATTAAAAGCTCTTTTAAAAATGGAATGAAGAGGCTTCCCTGGTGGCGCAGTGGTTGAGAATCTGCCTGCTAATGCAGGGGACACGGGTTCGAGCCCTGGTCTGGGAAGATCCCACATGCCATGGAGCAACTAGGCCTGTGAGCCACAACTGCTGAGCCTGCGCGTCTGGAGCCTGTGCTCCGCAACAAGAGAGGCCGCAATAGTGAGAGGCCCGCGTACCGCGATGAGGAGTGGCCCCTGCTTGCCACAACTAGAGAAAGCCCTCGCACAGAAACGAAGACCTAACACAGCAAAAATAAATTAATTAATTAATAAACTCCTACCCCCAACATCTAAAAAAAAAAAAAGGAATAAAGAATATCCTTAACATGATAAAAGATTATCTATTATAACTCAACAGAGAGCTGGTAGAGGCAAACAAAATAAAGATGTCTGCTACCATCATTTAATATGATTCTGGAAGTCAAAAGTCTTAGGAAATGAACATATGCAGATTCTGGGACCCATCCTATAATATGTATGTTGTTCTTTCAAAAAGAATCTTTTTAAAGAAAATTAATGGGTTCGGCTCATTGAATTTTGATTAATCAAGGTCTTATCAGACTCACATTGTGTTTCTTAAGAATTCAGTATTTTCCTGAAGTCCAGGCTATTTGAGTAGCCAAAAATAGTATTTCTGCTTGTTTTTTTAGTTTTTAAATTTTTAGTGAATTTGTTTAAAGTGGCACTTCTTTCAAATGTTCTCAGTAATTTTGAGAAGAACAAATTAATCTTTGAGAAGAGTAATCTTTGAAAAGAGATGGGGGAAAGAGTCAGAAAATGTATACCAGGATAGCACTTCTCAGAGTCCTTGAATTCTCCTGATTTCTCAAAAAAGCCTCTCTAGGAATCTCTCCAGACTCCTGTGAACAGCCTTAGGGTAACAGAACCTGACTTTGAAATACAAACATGATACATAAAATTATATAGTAAAAATACTGAAGAAACTTGAGACCAGGATTTGGAAAACACTGGTAGGCAAATTGCACTGCACTATTTGTACCATCAGTTTCAAGGACCCAGTTTTCTGATTTTCTGAACAAATACTTTATCATTTCTATACTTAAAAAAAAACTAAGAGTAACATATTGGTTTATTTTAGAAGCAATGAAATAAAGCCCACAGTGGCATTAAATTCAATGACTATCTCTAAAGCCCCAATAGGATGTGACTTAACTTGTTCTATATCAGGGTTTCTCAACAATGGCACTGTTAACAGGAAATTCTTTGTTATGTGGCACTGTCCTTTGCACTGCAGATGTCTAGCAGCACCCCTGGCCTCTCTCCACTAGATGCCAGTAGCGACCCCCACTCCCATCCGCCCCAAAATGACAATCAAAAATGTCTCCAGCTATTGACAAAATTACCCCCAGTTGAGAGCCACTGTTCTACATCATTTGGAGACAGATTAAGTGTGAATATGTAATATGTCTTGTATAAAATTAAACATCGTTAGTACACAGTAACAAATTATATAAAATTAAACATCGTTAGTACACAGTAACAAATTATTATACCCAAAATTACATGTGTGGTTCATATGCAATAAAATGCTATTTTGGGGAAAGCTTACATGAATCACTGAAAGATAACAATTACAGAATATTTTAAAGCATACAGAAAAAATACCAGAAAGGACAAAATAGCATTTCACAGAAGTGCTTAAAACTGGCTTTAATGAATAGATCAAAAGTTTATAATTGGCACGTCAATTGGAAGTAAGGTGCTTCTGAAATGCTTGAAAAGAATAGGTTCTTTTCGTCTTTCAATATTGTTTTTATAAACCCTTTCTTAATGTAAGGGTAACTTCATCCCACAAACTCCTGATTAGTGGAATACAAATTAATGAGGTTTTACTGTATCAAAATTATTTTTCTAATTCAGAGATAGCAATAACAAGAATCTAATATGGACGTGATTTTTCTCTTTGAACATTTCTGTTCTGTTGCACTGACCTTAGCATGCGCGTGCGCGCACACACACACACACACACACACACACCACCATCTTACCATCATCATCATCTTTGGAAAACGAGTACTGTTGATCCATGTAATACTTTACATCTCTCTTCTCTACTATTTAAATGTCTTGCCTCTATCTTGGAACATAAGAAAAATACTCCTAGTAACTTGAACAATGATAGAGAAAATGACTCTGAGCCTTAGTTGTCATCAAAATTACATTTTGTCTGCTTAAGGTGACATCAGAAGATAAGGCTTGCAAACCACAGTCTCTCTACAAGTTGACCATCTCATTATGATTCCCTGAAGAGATAACCCCTTCTTAGTGTCCCAGGAGAAAATGGGCCTTTAGCATTATAATTCATCATGGAGCTAGAGGTATTTTTTTTCCTGGTTCTAATATGCGAGCAATAATCCCTACCAAGAAATCATCCATTAACCTTGGAGTTTGGAAGGATGGATGATTGATTTATCATTTATTTTAATCCACTGCAAAAGCAGTACTGCCAGCTCTGCTTTCTACACTTCATTGAGACCCAGACTTAGTGCCCGTCATCATCATGGCCATTATCTGACTAACTTTGGAAGGATGGTGACAGAACTGAGTGAGATGTTTTCTGATAATTCAGTCATAATGTTTCAAATCTTTCATATAGCATTTGAATGATTCTCCAGTTAATAAATCAGAATCCAGGTCTCTAGTACTCAAAGATCTTAAGGGATTGTAAAGGAAAAAGTTTACTGTTGGAGTCCTTTTTTAAAATGTGAACCATGTGTCTGTTATCTGCATTAAGGGATCACCATGGCTTTGAGGAAGGAAAAGGAAAATAAAGATTATGCCCAAGGTTGGTTGAAGAAGATTAAGATTAGCTCTTTGAGATACTTGGTTTTAAAATGTTTGGCAGAAGGGAAAAATGAAGCATATTTAGAAGAGTAAGCTAAAAGCCCTCTCATTGGTTTAGGGTCATTGGGACAACCCAGGAGTATCTGTGTGATTATAGCCTGTCTCCATGGGAAGGCATTGTAACTTGACCACTTTTGTTCTGAGAGGGCAATGCCAAGAGTCAGATGTTTCTGCGAGGCCTGCCCTTTGCATCAGGAAAAAAGTGGTAGCCTTTGCAGCTTCTTCACCTATGTCCTCTGTAGCCCCAACCCCACTTGTGACGTTACTGTTTCACAGACACACTGCTCCAGGGGCCAGAAATACTTGCCAGTAAGTCATGTATTTGGATTCCACCGTTCCAGGGAGCATGGCTGTAGAAGTTTATTGTGTATATGTGCAGACAACATAGCCCTGAAAGGACAAAATTCAAAATAGGAAAGGTCTGACTTAGGAAAGAAGAGGAAGTGCAATTTGGTACAAGCGGGCTGGGGTAAAAAGGGACATGGGAGCCAGAGTGAAGCATAAGAAGCTTTGATGAGGAACCGAGGCACAGTTGGTCTATTTATACATTTATGTAGAGAAGTGATTCTCAACTTTGGCTGTGCATAAGCATCACCTAAGGCGCTTCTAAAATTCCCAGTTACACCAAAATCTTTCAGAGTGGGAACCAAACATCAGTGTTTTTGAAAGCCTCCAAGATAGTTCCAATGTCCAGCCAAGGTTGATAACTACTACTAAGGAAGATATATTTGTCTACCCTGACTGGCGTCTAAGCCCCACTTCTGAGGGGTCAAGGAAAACAAGATATTGGAGATATTGGCCAGATTGATATTTATTCTGTGTCGCAACCCAAAACAAATGTTCTGTAAAAATTTCTGACCAGGCAGTGCCCCATTAATTCTTAACATCTCTGTCTTTGTGATTTTCTCCTATATGACTGGCCACTAATTATTCCAATTCAAACATCTAGGTTTCGATTGCCTTATACATGTGACATCACCAGACACCAAAGATATCATAAGAAATTTAATACCATGCAACGTGAAGTGGAAAACTAATTCTCAATAGTTGGATAGTAGAAATTCTCAAAACAATCATTTACCAAATCAGGTCCAAATTTATTACTCATTCTTCATTTGGAGGAGACATAGGTACCAGGTACCTGGTTCTGCCATAGCTATATTTTATTGGATTTGATCTTAGCAAGAAAGGAGAGCAACTCTCCCTTTTTGATTTTTGTCTTTGCTCTCAGGGCAAAGGAGTTTGGATTTATTTTCTTAGTTACTGGACACGTGTTTAAAGGGAGAAGAATGCCTGCAGCTGACTGTGTGGCCTCCAGTGCCCTGAAAGAGTGATTTCACCTTCAAAAACGGGAGAGTCCGCCTATCCAACGCAATACTAGTCAATGAGAAAACAGAAGAGTTCTCTCCTCTCACACTGCTCCCCTCTGGTATTGGCCCATCCTTCTCAACTGCAAAGCCAGAAAATAAACTAGGTGGTAGTTATGGACAAGTGTGCACAGGATCAAAATCTCTAATAACCTATAATTTTTAGTA